GCAAATAACACAAGGTCGCAAGGCAGAAGAGCTTATTTCAATAGTATAATGATGCACCATCAACCTCCACCATTCAGTGGATTTCATAATAGCATAAGCAGACCAACATCACCACCAGTACCTACTTTCAATTTTAATGGCAATATTGTTGAAGGAATCAGAAATCTAACATTGAGATATAGGTCAAGAGCACCAGAGTTTTCTGATGGGCAACATGTTCTCTTAGATAATTTTTGGAATATTCAAATCAAGCAACCAAACATGAGGTTAGGTCATGAAAAATTAATTAGAGCCTTGGAACAAGAGTTTGATAGTTTTAATTTTAATTTCCATCAAAGCCAACATCATATTCATTCTCTTGAGCACAACCTTTAAGTCATCTCCAGAGAACACGAGTCTTTACTCAGTAAGTTTACCAAAATGAACCAAGAACTCCAAGCTCTTAGAATGAAGCAGAAGATAAGTGACACCCTGAAAAGAGAATTGAAAATAGGTTTAGAAATTGATCAGCATAATAATAAAGGAAAAGAGGTTATTGAACCAATAGAACAAGAGGCTAATGAGCCTATAGAAGAGACTACGATTTAGCTTTTAGAAGAAGACATTGAAATGGAACAACATCAAAATAATGAGCAGCATCAGCATCTGAGTGACAAAGACAAAAAAAGAAAAATATGAAAGTTTTTTTAGGAATATATCTTTAGACTTAATATTAGATGATATTTTATTAGATGAAATTTCAAAAGTAAAACTAAGAATAATGCCAACAGATATGCAAAATGAGATCCTGAGCAGAGCATCACAATCCATGAAAGAATTACAACTACGATTACAATGCGTCTTGTATCAGTCCATCTTTGATCCAAAACCAGAGATGGATATTATTACAAAGATGTATTCACCATATCTTTGTGATAGTATAGAGAATTGTATTTGTAAACCAGAGGTTAGCATAGTTGTGACCAGGATTAATATGAGAGATTTTAGACCATGGTATTTTAGTTATGAGCATCAGAAAAAAAGTATAATGTGGTAGAAATTACTCCTGCCTTACTATTAGAGTTTGGTTATCTTGATAAAATATTCATAAACTGTATTTCCCAACTAGAGTCGTTTTTTGAAAAACTTATAAAAGTAGCAGAAGATTATCTGGAAAGGTGGAAAGAAATTTGCATAAGCTTTATTAGTAGTCCTCCAGATTGGTATGTACATATGCATAAGGAGAAAGCTAGACATATAGTCATGATTAATGAAGGGTCCTTTAGACTATCCCCTATCTCCTCACATAGGTGGACTCCTTCATACAAAGATATTTTAAAATTTAGAGGGATCCAAATGTTTGCCTTAGATGAGTTTGAAAATTTTAGGTATGATATGGTACTAGTAGCAGAAGAAGAAGATATGTATATTTACAGCAAGACAATGATCAGTCATCAATTTTATTGGAAGCTTCAAAATTTCAAAGAAGAAACAGCAGAAATGTACTGCAAGGTGAAAGAAGATTGAGAAAGAGATGCAAAGTTAGTAGAAGGCGATGAACAATGCTGAAATAATTTGACAGAAGAGGAGCTGCATAACATCGACAACATGATGGAAACATGAAGAGTTGGCTGTAAATTAGCATAAGTTTAATAGCATAATGTAAAATAATGTTTTTCCAGACAAAAATATCAACATCATTGTGAACCCCGCTGTAATGACAGAA